AAGGGGACCCCGAGTCCGGGGCAGCAGCCACCTGCAGGTCAGAGGGAGGCCTCGGAGGCCGGGGGCCAGGTCCCGGGTCTACCTGGGAGCCGGGCAGAGACGTTCCCTTCAGCCCTGTTAAAGATCTCATCGCTGAAATCGCCAGCATCTTATGCAGCCACACCGGCGGAGCGAGGGGGGAAGGAGGGAGGGAGGACAGTTCGGCCGTCGCAGAAGTCGGGCAGCAGACTGTGATGCGGGCGTGTCCCGCACGCAACTCCAGGGGTACGTGGGCCACAGGGTGGAGAATTCCGGGCACAGGAAACGTGCTTTTGAAAAGATGCCGGATTCTTGCCCGGCTGGTGTGGCTCAGTGGATTGAGCACCGGTCTGTGAACCAAAGGGTCACTGGTTCGATTCCCAGTCAGAGCACAGGCCTGGGTTGTGGGCCAGGTCCCCAGTAGGGGGTGCATGAGAGGCAATCACACATGATGTTTCTCTCCCTCTCTTTTTCCCTCCCTTCCCCTCTCTCTAAAAGTAAAATGGATAAATAAAATCTTTTTTAAAAAAAAGGAAAATATGCCAGATTCAGAGCAGACTGCTGCACGGACGCCTCCTTTGATGGTGAGGGCCGAGGGGGTGGGGCCCCGCTGCTCCCTGATCACCGAGTGCCAGGCGGGCAGAGGCCCTGCACACACAGGGCCTCACGGAAGTGACCGGTCTCCCTGGAGCGGGAGGAGCCGTGCGCGGCGGGAGGCGGGTGCTGGCTGGCTCCAGCCCCGGAGCCCCTCTCAGTGGCGGTGTGACCAGGCCTCAGGGGCAGTTCCCGGAGCGGGGGAAGCTGGTAGAGGGGGAGGGTCTGGGGCGACCCAGGAGGCTCCAGAAAAGCCGCAGGAGCCTCGGGTGTTTCGGCCTGTGCCCGAGGTTAGAGGTCAGGCCGAGGTCGCCCGCGAGGCTCCCACCAACCATCCGCGCCGGTTCCTGGGCCGCCAGCAGCTGCCCCCGTGCCCCGCGCACCAGGGTCGGTGATTGTCACACCTGCACGTCCCCGTCACCCCGCCTCGGTGTCCTGGCCGCACCTCCCTGCTCTGGGGGCTCAGTGCAGCCCCGGACCCCGACATGAACCCCACTCGATGCGGCGTGTGAAGGCTCCACGCGGCTGCCCCTCGGCAGAAAGACACCGCCAGCTCCCTGGCGCGCGGGGCTGGGCATCCCCTTCGAGGATCGTGAGGCGTTTCACGGCCGGGAGGCCCTTCGTGCAGATGTCGGGCGACGAGAAGCGGTACCGCCGTCCTCTCAGACAGCTGAGGGGCCGGGTTTCCAGGACAGGGGACCGCGGGGAAGGGCAGGCCCCCCGACAGGCACGCTCTGGCACCACGGCGACTCACCGCCTCCGGGAAGAGACCGGCACACGTGTGCAAGGAGCTGGGCCGGCCGGGCAGCCGACTCACGCGGTGGATAAGTGTCACCACGCAGGATCAGGCGCCAGCAGGAGAGCACGCGGCCCAGGGGCGGGCGGGGTCAGAAGGCCCCTGAGTGAGACCCGGGGGGCGGGGGGGGGCGGGCCGAGGTCGTGGAGTGGCCGAGCTTTCTGTGGCAGGAGGCATGCAGGCCTGCGGTGACCCTGGGCCAGCGCCCGCCACGCCCTCTGCCCTGTCAGCGTGGCCCGGAGTCAGCGGGCGCCTGGGGCCCCGCTCTGCCGTGTGGTGGTCCCGTTTCCCAGTGGTCCCGTCTGCGCTGGAGGACTGGCGCTCAGCGTGGTTCCCGCTCACCGTTTCCTGCTCGCCGACGCCCAGCGTGTCCTCAGCGTCACGCATTCCAGGCGCAGAGGGCGCCTTCACTGCCCAGGGGATGAAGGTGCCAGCCTCTCAGCCCCGAGACCTCAGTGCCTCTGGGCCTCGCCCGCCTGCCCGCGGGGCCCTGGAGCCCCGGCAGGACACCCCTGCCTGCGGTGACCTGACGCTCCGCCTCGTCCCCCGGGAGGCCGCCGGCTCCAGTGGGCTGGTGTCATCAGTGGTTCTGTCGCCTGCGTGGGGCCTGCGCCCTCTCGTCGTCACCCGGGCGCAGCCTCGCTGGCCGCCTGTCCCCTTTCCAAGGGAGGAGAGTTCACTCCCAGGTTCTGCTACCTCGGCTCCCTGGCACAAACACACAGCACGTAGCTGACCGTGCCGGCCACACCAGGACGGGGCGAAGGAGGGCCCCTGGCCAGGCCTGCCCCCGACGGGGCTCCCCAGGGTGGCGGGTAGCCTCTGCCGCCCCCTCCTCCTGTGAAAGCGGCCCTGTCCTTTGCCACGGAAACGTTCCCACGTCACACACTGGTGACGGGCCTGTGCCACGGCTGCGTTTGCCCGGCGTGGCCTCTTCCTCCCCCGGCTGTGGGGTCCCGAACCCCCCGCCGCCCCAGCGTGAGCGGCTTCGCTGTCGATTCCCTCACATCTCCAGGGTGGACGCCGCCCTGCGCGATGCTCCAGGCAGCGGTGGACAGTGCGGTTCGCCGGCTGGTCTCTGAGTCCCCAGCGTGCAGCTCAGGGAGGGCGCCTTGTTCGCTGGCCAGTCACCTCGGGACTCCGGATCGCCATGACTTGTCGTCCTCCGGGCCTTAATGCATCGGGTGGCCAGGAGGTCGGACGTGCCGGGGCCTCGCCCGTGCGCATGGGCCCCGGCTCCGGAGCCTGAGAGACGGGCCGTTTGACACGCACTGCGAGGGCGAGCAGTTTTGTGACGATGCGACCCGGGGCTCCCGTCCCAGGGGGTGGAGAGAGCGACGGGGGGTGGGGGGGAACGCAGCCCCTGAGCCCGCCTGCAGGGTGGGCGGAGGGCGGATGGTCAGGTTCCCGAGCGAGGGCAAACCCTCGAGGCCCCGCACTATTGCCCGGCGATGCCACCCGTGTTGCTACCAGACAAACCGGTCAGGGTGGTTTGCGCAGAGAACAAATTTTGCAGTGACATGGCTCATCAGCACTGTAGTTTGTGCATTTCCTTGGGGATTTAACCACTGCCTTTGCTTTTCCAGTGTGAACGCCGAACCACACTTTTGTGTGAACAGTATGATCTTTTCTGTGTCCCGCTTGGACGTGAGACACCATCAAACTGTACCTCGGGCCCTGGCCAGTGTGGCTCCGTGGATTTGAGCGCTGGCCTGCGAACCAAAGGGTCACCGGTTCTATTCCCAGTCAGGGCATAGGCCTGAGTTACAGGCTAGGTCCCCAGTAGGGGGTGCATGAGAGGCAACCACACATTCACGTTTCTCTCCCTTTCTCCCCTTCCCCTCTCTAAAGATGGGGGAAAAAAACAACCCAAACCTGTAACTTGTGTCCTGAAATATAAAAAGATCAGGAGACAAGAGAGGCTCTCTGAACGCACCGGCCCCCGAGCCGCCGTGTCGGACACCCATGCGTGGCCCCGACGAGGATGGAGTCTCATTCAACGTCCGAACTGCCGGTCGAGCCCCCTTTTCTCAAAGGGACGGGCGTGGTGGAGACGACGGAGCTGCTTCGCTGTCCAGCCCCCACCGTGGCGTCAGGAGGAGCATGACGGACGGTCAGGCGGCCTTGTCCCGGGTGTCCTCCCGCCCAGGGTGGCCCGCGACCCGAAACGGAGAGCAAACCTGTGCTGTTTCCAGCTCGGCCGGCCAGGAAAGCCAAGGTGACTGTGCCTCATCCTTGGCTCTCCCAGGCCGTCTGTCTGTCTGTCCGTCCGTCTGTCCGTCCTCATCTGGTCCCGAAGGGTCTGATGCGGGACATGTCCCGCCCCTTGGACGCGGGCACAGGAAGGCTGATGGCGCCCGTGCCCCCCATCCCCACTTGGGGTCCCGGGGCGCCCTGGGCTCCATCCAGGGCTCTGCCGTCACACTTCAGACTGAAAACACGGTTTTCTGGCTGCTTCAGGCTGAAGGTCTGTGTCCCCCAAATTCATAGGTTGAGACCTAACCCCTGAGTGACGCATCTGATGGGGGGCCTTTGGGGCGATTCCGACTCGGGGTGCAGCCTTGCGATAGGACCGGCACCCTGTGGAAGCGACCCCACAGAGCCCCTCCCCCTTCCCACCGAGAGAGCGCAGCAGGAAGGCGCCCTCCCTGGACTCTGGCTCTGCTGGCGCCTGGACCCTGGGCTTCCGGCCCCCAGGACGGGGAGACCTGGACGTCGGTGGTGGTGTTACGGCCGCTGGACACACCGCGGCCCTGGCAGGTCCTGGTCTCAGACCACCGTCTGAGCTGCTATCAGACAAACTGGTCAGGGAAGCTCGCGCAGAGAATAAATTTTGCAGCGACACAGCTGCCTGCAGCCTCCACACAGCGCTGCGGGGGAGGGAGAGGCCAGGGGGACCACCCAGTGGGGAGGGCGCTGCCCCCACGTGGAGCTCTGCCGCTGTCATCTGCCCCGAGACAGGGAGCGGGGGGCTTGTTCCGGTTCCACGAGCACTGCGGGGGCGGTGTGCCCTGGGAGGGGGGCGCCGCTGAAGGGCTGAGTTCGGAAGGAGAGTCTCTTAACAAAACGTGGACGCAGGGATGTGGCCAGGCAGGATGGGGCGGGTGGGAGCAGGTCCGCCCTGCACCCAGGCCCACCCCCGGCCTCTCGGCCAGGCTGGCTCCCTGCCCTCGTCCACCCAGCGTCACTGTCAGCTGTACACGCAGCGTGTGCGTGACGTCGATGTACCCAGACCGCGCTGAGCAGAACAGGGGAGGGGCTGGCGCCGTCTCTAAATCAGAGGTTAAGGAGAGCCGGGAGCACCGTGGGCACCGATCACCGTCCTCCTCGCCTCTGAACCCGGCAGAACCTCCCTGACCGGGGGCGGGGGGCTGGCACTGGGGGCGGGAGAACGGGACACCCCAGGTGCACGCTGGCCATTCACACTCAGGGACCCAGCGGCGGAACCCTGCGTCGGGTCCAGGCCCAGGTTCGGTCACTGAGCCATTGTCGCTGCCTGGAACAGGCTGTGCAGAGGCTGCTGGTGGGGGCGGGGACGGGGGCGGGGCAGCGGTGCGGCGGCGGGTGTGGGCGGGAACGCGGGCGCGCGCCTTACCAGGACCATGTGGCCGGTGGAGATGTCCATGTTGGGCGGCACGGGCTCCTCGGACCAGGACGAGGTGCTGCTCCGCGCGGACGGGCTGGGCAGCGGCCCATCGCTGAGCTGCGAGGACACGCTGTTGACGCGGGATGCGTGCGGGGCCTCTGGGCGGTCAGACGTGCGCACGGCCATGCGCTGGCGGCACAGCTCCTGGAAGACAGGGGGGCGTGGGGGTCAGCGCCCTCCCCCCCCCTCCGGCTCCTTGGCGCCCACCGGCTGGTCCCCAGAGCCCCCGTGCGGGCGGGAAATTCGCCCTGTGGCCTGACACACACACGGATACACAGACCCGACACTCGGGTCCCGACTCTGCGGTCACGCCGAGGGCCCCTCGGGGCGGGCACCGCGCTGGGGGAGTCCCGCCCCTTCCCTTTCCTGCCCGGACAGGCGGCGGAGCGGGGGAGGGGGCTGCATTGTTACTGAAATTCGGGACCGGGCGCCACACTTGGGAGGGGTGTTCAGGAAAATACCCCCCTTTTTGGTTCTCCCATTCCCCCCAATAACACCCAGCTGACAAGCGCCGCACAGGAGACAAGGGGCAGAAGCTCCTGCGGGAGGAAAGCCCGTGGTCGATGGGAGGGTTTGCTTCTCTGACCAGGTGCCGGAAGGCAACCCGTCTGGGCTTAAGGAGAGATCTTGGGGCGCTCTGGTCAGGTCCCTGGGTGTCCTCGGCCTCGCCCACTGGTGGCACTCACACGCACCCTGGCCAGGGGGATGTGGCCCTGAGCCCCCTCCCACAGGGTCTGGGGACCAGCCCTGCACCGCCTCCGGCCCCCGGGGCCCTGACCCAGCAGCTGCTCCGGGAGGACGGCTGTGCGCCTCCGGGGACAGAGGGCGGGGGGTGACGGCCACGCACAGAGGGCGGGCGCCTGCCACCGGAGGGGAAGCCGGGAGGAGTGCAGCACGCCGTGCTCCGGGGCCTCCCTGCCCGCGGGCGTGGGGCTCGGGGCTCCCAGAGGCCGTTCCACAAGGAGTGTGTGTGTGTGTGAGTGTGAGTGTGTGTGTGGAGAGCCCGCTCAAGGTCTCTGGAGCCTCAGAGACACACACAGGCCTGGACACGGCGGTGATTTCGGTGCGGAGAGCGATTCCAGGGACCACCTGCGTTTCCCACACACTTCCCTGTGCGAAGGGGACGCTGCACGGCCGGGGCGGGGGGCAACCCCGCGGGAGGTGGGGCCTTTGGGGGCAGCTGTCACGTGCAGGTGAAAGGTGGCCTCGGCCCAGCCGGTGGCTCTGTGGGTTGGAGCGTCGCCCTGTGCACCAGAAGGTTGTGGGTTTGATTCCCAGTCAGGGTGCGAACGGCAGGCAGCTGATCAATGTCTCTCTCAAACCTGTAAAATGTATCTTCGTGTGAAGATTAAAAAACGCCGTTGCTCTGCTGGGGTGGACGCGTCATTCTGCGGGGACTGCCCTCCCAGGAGGCGGGCGTGGGGGCCATCCCCATCGATGGAGAAGGAAACCCGCCGTCATGGGGGAGAAAACAGGCTGACAGGCTCAGGTCTGCTCCCCTCACGGGAGGGAGGACTAGCCGCCCCCCCCACCATCGGCATCCCCGGGGAGGGGGGCACCCACTCAGGCACAGCGAGCTGGGCCCTCCTCGTGGGGGGCCAGGGCTCCCCGCGCAACCCTGGTGTGCGGACAGGAGCAGAGGCCCGCGGAGCGCGGCCCAGGGAAGCCGGGACCTGGGTCAGGCCCCGCCCCCTACGCCCGAGGGCCCCAAGGGCCAGGTCGAGCCCTGCTGGATGACCCCGGTCTGCAGCAAGGAGGATCTCCCCGCCAGGGACGGGGTTCGCGACGGCCCCCCCGGATGTCAACGCGCAGTCACAAGCAAATCCAACCTCTGAAGCTCGTGCCCCATGATTTGAAGACACCGGACGCCATCTTGTTCGTCAGGAGCGGGGGCCGGCACCTGGCGGGCACCGACTCGCCGCCGCGCAAACAGACGTGAGCCCTGGGCCCTCGGGCGGCCGCCAGCACAGGCGCACGCAGCGGGCTCCGCCGGGCCCCGGCCGTCCTCGCCCCCTGCCCCCCGGGGCGGTGCCCCTGGCAGGGTTCAGCGCCCCAGTGCCCCATCTGCTTCAGCTCAGGCAGCTGCCCCCCACGTGGGGTCCCACCGCCGCCACATCTGCCCAGCCAACTGCCCCCCTGCTGCGCACCGAGCCGGCCCCGGGCGCTCTCTGCAGAGCCTCTGGGAGCTCCATTCTGCCTCAGACCGCGCTCTGCAAAATTAGCTGAATAGGGTCCTGGGGGCGGAGACCCATGCGCACACACAATGCGCACGTCTCCCTCCTCAAGCCTCCGTCCGATGGGGGGAGATCGCGGGGCGGGGGCCGCTCTGGGAGAAAAGACCTGTCACCCCCAAATTCTGCCAGAAGAAAGGCCGGGACTACAAAGGCTGCAGACACCCTCTCCGCACCTTTCAAGGGGCAGTCGGAGCGGAGCGCGGCCGCCTGAGCCCGCACACAAAGGGCGGGCTGCCGGTTATTTGGGGACCGTAATTAGTGGCCAGGGGGCCAGGCCGAGGACAGGCACAAAGCCCCAGAGAAAGAGAAATGGTTCATTAGGCCGCCGGGAGGGGCGAAGGCCAATTACTTTGCAGACGGGACAAAACATGGAGACTTTGGCCAGGGCCGGCCTCCCCGGGGAGGGGCCGGTCTCCCGCTCCCGGGGGGGGGGGGGTGCGCTGCGGGGCCCGGCAGACCCTGGAAGACCTGGCGCACGGCCTCCGGCAGCCTGTGTGGCGTCGCCGCGGGCGACCGCGCAGAGTGTGGCCACGGACGCTCGGCCCTCCGAGGGGAATGCAAGCAGAGGGAGAAAGTCCCCCGAGGCTGTGGGCTCCCACAGACACGCGGGCGGGCCTCCCCTGGCGGCGGAGGACGGGGTGTGTGTGTTTATTCGCTTGAGTGCGTTTCCTGAGCGGAGCCTGTCCTGCTCGCGGGGTGAGGACCACCACGCCGGGCGGGGGTTGAGTGTGGGCGCCCGGAGTGTTTAGCGGGCACGTGTGGGGGCGGCGGGGGAGAACGGGCCCCGGTGGTCAGCGTCTCTGTGCCCCCCACCCCACCCCGCGGTCCCCGGCAGGTTCGTCCAGGCCGTTTTGTCGTAAAGGCAGGTTTGGGGGAGAGAGAGCTGCTCTGGGTCTCGGCCTGTGGGCGGGGCGGCCGCACTTGGGCTTCCTCCCCACCAACAGCACCTCCGGCAGCGTTGGGGGCGGGGCAGGTGGGGCGCCTGCCGAGGCCCCGCCCCCAAGTCCCGGCCTTGTTCCGGAGGAGGTGGGGGCGGGGACGCGGCTGGGTGGTCCCGGTAAGAAACAGGACCCACCGTCCTCCTGTGACGGGGGCCTTTCCTGGGGCGGGGGCTCCGTTCACAGCCCCCCTCCCTGTGCGTGTCCTGAGTCCCGGCCTCACCTCCTCCTACGGGGCTTCTCAGGGACGCTCGGGCGACATTTACAACTGAAGGGCAATACACACACGCACACATGCATGCACGTGCATGCACACGCGTGCACCCACACGGGGTGACTGCTCAGCCGGGCGAGAATGTGCGCAGCTCCTTCTGACCTCTGCCCAGAGGCCCGCGGGTGCCGCGTCCCCGCCTGGCGCCTGGCACCCACTGAGCTGCCGCCCACCTCCCGCCGAGGCCCGCGCCTCGCCCGCGTCCCCGAAGACCCCACTGGCCGGCTCGGACGGGACAAACGCGGTGGTGTGAGGGGCCGTGGTCAGCGGTGGCTCCCCATCCTGCAAGATGTTCTCTCGGAACAAAACTCAGCGACACAGACACATGGTGACGAAGACCAGTAAGCACAACTCTCTGCACTTCCAAACCCAGGTCGGCCTGAGAGCTCCGCAGTCAGAGGACAAGGGCTGCCTCCCCCGCCCCGGGGGCTCGCTCTGCAGCCACCCGCACCCCGGCCCTCACCACTGGCCCTGACCACCGCGGGCCTGTCCCGTCCCTGGCGGCGGTCACCTTGGCTGCACTGTGAACCTGAGGACAAAGGTCGAGTTTGCCGGTTTCCATCTTCCTTGGGGTGCAGCACAGATCGCAGGCTGCGGGAAGTGCTGGCTCACGGTGCCCACCCCCCGGGGCAGCCCTGGGCCCCGGCGTGCCCACGAGGTCCCCGGCATGCAGGGTGTGCTGTCTGGGGGGCCGGAACCCGGTCCTGCCCACGGTTCGGGCTCCGTCCTCCGACAAGGTCCTGGCTGCCCCGGGCCATCAGGGACTGCCCTCCCACCCCCGCCGATGGCTCTGAAGGGTCAACCTTCTGCCCAGGCCCAAGGCGCATGAGAGACCAACAGTCCCCCCGCAGGGTGCAGGTGGTGTTTGCCTGAGGGGGGGGCTCCGGAGGATGACGACCAGCTCAGCCCCACGCACAGTGCACCCAATGCACCGGCTGCGCGGGCCAAGGGCCAGGGCCGCACACCCTCGTCACTCCCGAGGCTCGTGTGGACCGCCGGACGGAGCCGGGACGAGTTGTCACACAGACACAGGGAGGGCTGGTGGGTCCCCATGGCACCATCCTTCCTCGGGGCCCTGCGCCGGCCGGGGCCCTGTGGTGGTCTAAGGCACCGGGGCAGAGAGTGGGCTTTCAGACGCACCAGGAGCGCCTGGGATCAGCAGCGCTGCCGACCTCCCGGTGGGTTCCTGCTGGAGGTCTCTGTCGCCAGGGCAAGCGCCCCAGCCAGGCCCCACGGGTGAGACCCCCACTTTCCAGCTCTTGAGACTGACGACGCCCCCGACATTCAGCCTGAAGGGTTCCCGCAGAGTCAGAGAGGGCTTCAGAGTTCCGGGGTCCAGCCCCCACGTTCCGAGGGGAGGCGGCGAGGCTCTGCCCTTCAGGCCGGCAGCTGAGTCAGCCGGAACGTTGTGCCGCCGCCACCCCGGAGCCACCTGCCCGGCCGGGACCTCAGAAGAGCAGCTGTTGTCCCCGGAGACTCCGTCCCCTCCCTGGGTCCCTTCTTGCTCAGAAGATAATGAATCATCACCGGTTGTCATCGTCACCGCCCCTCCTGTGGATGGACACCCACAGCGCCCACGTCTCCCGCTGCTGCTTCCGAGGCGCCGAGGGCTCTGGGTGCGGGAGGGTCGCGGGCCACAGCTGCGGAGAGTCCTTGCGCCGACTGATCTCGAGTTCAGTGTGTCGGTCGGCTCCGTCAGCA